CAAGTCTGGTGCAAAAACGCATGATCGCACCGGCTCGCCTGGTGCGTTCCAGCCTGGGTTTTCATTTATGCTTTTTCCTGCAACTGTAAAATAGTAGCATTCAAAATTTTTCAACTTTATACAATAAAATGTGAGTCTTAGTTTCACTTAAAACCGGACGGAAATGCAGAAATAGTCTGTAACATATTGGCCAAAACAGGCATCTTGAAGCTATCTGCTTATGCTGGTTGCATTCCTATCAACTTAGCTTCTTAGCTTCTTCAGTGAGGCTGCTTATTGAAAATATGAAGATATGACCGTCTTCATATTTAGCTCCTATTTTGATGGACTAAGCTTCCGCTCGAAACACAAATGTTTAGGAGCTATTTTTGAGAAGCCCCTCGCCGTGTTCCAGCTGCTTATTAGGTCAGATTATTACGGCCGTATGTATAGCCTTGTGCAAATAATTCCTATGACACAAATAAATTCAAATATTATGCAGGTTAAAGTAATGGACTCTGTGGTTGTTGAAACAACAAGTGCTAGCTCAGCTACGTTTCTCAGTCGAATACTACAGGTATCTCATTCGTTAAAAATTCCATTTTGTCTGAATGTCTTCTACATTCAATTCACTTTCTAATGCGCTCGAATATTCAGCTCACACATTTTTATCTATCATTTAGGTGAACAGGTTTGTTCAGATCAGCAACATATTCAAAATCAATTTTTACTAAAGAAACTCTTGTATGTTAAATTAAACCTGCTAGTATCGGCCTGAAAAACTCAGTGTCATGGCACAAAAAAAAGTCGCGTGTCTCCGGGCCGATTGCTTTACGAAAAACTAGTAAATTAAGGTCAGTGTTGCGACTTCACTTTTTGCTGTCGAAAATTGCCAGAATCAATGAACGAAGTGAAAGTTTTGGCGTTCACAGGACAGGATTTGCCGCTTCTTGATTTATACAAAATGAAATAATAGAATGCACTTGCGGCAAAAAATTTTTTGAATAGAACTAACATCAGGCGCTGAAGTTGACTTTAAAATTCACCTAAAACCACAAAAGATCACTGCAGGCCAACAGGACACAGGTGCATTTTTAGTCCTGGACATGCGCTTACGGCGGATATTTGTCATCCAGTAGTGACATTTAAGATTGCTCTCGGATTGTTTGTGACGACCAGCGATTTGCCACATCACGATTTTGGAAACAACAGCGCTCCAGCAAACTTCCACTGTACATTCAATGTTCCCTGTCGATGGTTTTCTGAAGGAGTCAGTGCTGCTCGGTGGAAATTGGCGCGGGGTGAACCGGATCCGTTCCTCTGGCTCGCATCGACAGGAACGATGCAACGGCCGTGTATCTTCTAATCGCTTCGCGCTTAGCTCAACTTTTCCCTCATTATGCTGCTATTGTTGCTTTCCTACAATACGATTTATAATTTGAAATTTTTTAGCTGAACCGTTTGTTTTGATTGAACTTCGAGGACAACAAGCGGATCGCTTGCTAAGCGACGAAATAGCTTGTCAACGAGGCAGCGCTACGCTTTCGTTTACCTATTGGATTGTCGGTATGATGCATATCAATCACGAATCCAGCGCAGCTCAATGTGGCGGTGATCGCTGGCAAACCATCGGCATTTAAGGCGGGCACAAGCATGGGAATGGGATGTGGGAGAAAGAAATGGGAATGTGGGCTAGAGGACTGTGGAGGGCAGTTATCTTCATTTTTTCTCAAGAAACGTGAAATAATTGGCCAACACACGGGCTCCCCGTGTGAAAATGCGTTTTTTGCATAGCTCCCCGCAGATTTTTGTCGCTACTGGCACTGGTTTTTCCAGCAGATGTTTCTAGCTAAAAGAATTTCAGGCTGGCCGCCAGGACTGTCGGAAAACATCCCTTCTAAATTCCAATCTTTTAGCTTCTCACGTTTCCGAGTTAGCAATTTACCCGAAAGAAACTTTCACGGGCCCATACGTAGGTATCACGCTTATCCGCAGGCAGGGTTTGAGCTCACTAATACGTACTTGGACGAGGAACATCCCTTTGAGATTTCAGCCTTCTAGCTTCTCAGATGCCTGAGTTAGCGACCTACCTGAAAAAACTTTGGCGGGCCCGTACGCAGGTACCACGCATACCCGGGGGCTGGGTTTGAGCTCATTAATACTTACTTGGGCGGGGAACATTACCCTAAAATTTCAGTTTTCTAGCTTCTCAGATCCCCCCCTTATGAAGTTCCCCGAAGAAATTTTGGCGGGCCTATACGCGGGTACCACGCTTACCCGGGGTTGGGTATGAGCTCATTAATACCCACTTGGACGGGCAACATCCCCGTAGGATTTCAGCTTTCTAGCTTTTCAGATTCTCGAGTTATGAACTGACCCAAAAAAAACTTTGGCGGGCTCGAACGTGAGTACCACGCGCGTAATGGCGCCCATTTTGGGATTGGGGCCCGTACGTGCATGTAGATTAAGTTCCCAAAGTTTCAGCCCTGTAGCTTTTG